GGGTTGGGTTTCTTGATTCCCTGATTATAGAAATCAAGACATGGCTGAGACAGACGGTCCATCTCTAAGCCTGTGTTTCATTCCCTGACTTGGGGGCCCTCTGGGGCCTGTGGGATCTGACACTATGGATGCCACTTGAGGAGGGTTGGGTGAAGGGCAGCAAAGGGGAAGCACCAAAAGCCAGAGGAAAGTTGGATTTGGAAATGGTGATGAAACTGGCACTGTAGTCTATTGCACCGCTCCTCTGTTCAAATCCTTGGGTCCTGAGAAGTGGAGCCATTGCAGCTGCTTAAAAATGATTTGTCCAAATTTTGACCCATTTTCTTGATTCTGATTATTGAAAAATCACTCCCATGTGATTCATTGTCCTCATGAATGCAGTCAATAAAGCTATTGCTGATAAATCACCAAGCAGAAGATATGTTTATATTTATTTCTTTATTTTCACATCTCACGTCCTTGTCAAAAATGTTGTGGAGTGAGCAGCTGCCTTCAAGGAATTTGATTCCTCATGGACCTGACAAAATACATTGCCTAACTCCCTAACCTGCCACAAGTAAAGCAGCCAATGTCCTGCTTCTATGAAATGTTGTCAATATATGCTTAAGAAATTGGGGGGAGGGGCGCACCCTCTACTAGAAAGAATTGATGTTGAATATGGAATGGATGAAAGGCTGTTTGATCTGAGATGTTTTTGCTAGAAGATCAAAGTCCGCAAGATAACCATCCTTGACCTTCAGTACACTGACGACTGTGCCACCAGTGCACGCAGTGGGCAAAACCTTCAGACTATGCCGGATCTCTTTTCAGAAGCCTATCAAATTTCCAGATTCTATCAACATCAAGAAGACTAAAGTGCTCGTTCATCCTGCTCCAGGCAAAGAATGTGAAACCCTTCCGCAGATTACCATTGAGGGAAATACCATGGAGGTAGTCAAGTACTTTCCCTCCCTCAGTAGCCACCTCTCTTCAAGAGTAAACAGTAGGATCCAGCATAGGATCGCCAGCATTCTTGATGGGCAGTTGGCTAGTTTAACATACCAGTTGATATTGCATTAGAGTCCAAAGGCTACATCCACAGGCTAAATACACAGTTTCATAAGTGCAGTTTTGGGCATTAATACAGAGCTTGCAATTCAGCTTTGGGTGTCCAAGCTTGGAAAAGTCCATTGAGGATGTTCGGTGGAGTTGTTCCCTATCTGGGCAGCGAAATAGGATCATTCAGGTGTGTGTTTAATATTTATGAGATAAAAGTGGGTAACAGCACTGGGAAAGTTTCTTCCCACATTTGGGAGGTGAGGAAGAAATCTCCTTCCCTTCTAGGGAGTGTCTAAGTCACAAACTATCTGACTTGCACTCTTTCTTCTGGCCCCACATATGTCCCCTTCTTTCCTGCCTGCTGTGGGGAACTTCAAGAGGTGGGGATCTAGTTAATTGCTAACTTATGACCTGAGGTTAGAGTATTTTTCTGGGAGGAAGGCTCCGAAGTTCAACCCCACCTTTAGGAGATGTGGAGCCTAGATCTCCCACTTCTTGGGTAAACGAGCTAAACACTGTTCTATTGTATGAATGCAATAGAGGAAGAGAAAGAGGAAGTTGCTTACTTTCTGCATCTTCCAAAACACAAACACACTTTACTCCCTTATTTCCACTTGCCATTTATGTATACCAGGAGTGTCCAACCCTTTTGAATGTGGGGCCAGATCATGAACTTTTTATCACCCAGTGGGCTGGCAGAAGCAGGCACTTAAGCAGCCTGTCCAGTTCAGCCGTGGCATGGTGGGCAGGGGTCAAGGGACGCCGTGTCCTCCCTGCCACCTGGGCGGCCTCAAGGATGCTACCACACCTGCGTGCCTGGGCTCAACAGCCAGGGGGACATGCGTGGATCCTACAGGGGGGTGCGAGATGTGCAGGGACATCCCCCTGCTCCCTCTCCCCCGTGGCAGCCCGAGCCCGACCGAAGGGGCCAGTTCCCAATCTTGATCTTCGCAATAATTTTCTCCTGCTACCACAGCTATCCGGTGAGTTGCAAAGCCTAATTTTTGTGTGTTTAATGATTGCCTCATAGCAACTATGGTTATAAGGGGCTTTTCCTGATGCAAGGGTAAGCTGACGCACCATACCCTTTAAGACTTCCACCTCCTTTTTAAATTTAGTTTGTTCAGCCACCTCTCTCAGCAATTCACTTTCTCTTATTTTCTTTTCTCGGTATGCCTCTTGTAAAGGCTCCAACTGACTTTGAGCTCCCAGAGCGCCTCATCCCCAGCAGCCTCGAGCTGCCAGACAGTGTACAGCACTGGGCTGCACCAACATGATGTGAAAGCAGCAGGGTGGGTGCCAGGTGGCTGGAGGTGAGCTCCACTGCTCCCTACTGCCCTGCACCATTTGTGGGGGCTGTGCCACGAGGCTCCGGGTGCCCTGATTGCCACTGCCAGTAAACCCAGGCCATGCGAGGGGAGGGGGCTGGGGTGCAAGTGATTAGGGAGCAGGGTAAATGAGGGGAGAGCAGCGGAAGCAAGGGGAGAGCTGGTAAGACCTGGGGAAGAGATTGTGGAGCTGGGGAAATGAGGGAGGAGCTGGGGGAGTAAGTGGGGGCTGAGGCCATGAAGGAAGCCCCTCCATGGTCCCCTCCCCCCTCCTCCAGCCCCCCAACCACCTATGTGTCTGGCACAAAGCCGGGTTCAGGTATTTCAGCTGAAATATAACTTGTTTAAAATAGAGCTCCTTACATTCCTTCCCCAGTAGTCCCTCTATCACTATTAACAGCAGCCCCATCCAGCCCATTATTCAGCCTTGTCATGGGGAGTCCCATGATCCCAAGATCCAGGCTATATTCAAATCTTGAAACTTCCTTCACCCAAATGTTTTAACAACCCGTTCTTTTCCTTCAAATTCTACAGTACTAAGGCTTCTTGTACCCATAACGATGTTACCATGTACATGTGATGAAAATTTCCCTTGTGTGGCTTAATGGTGTTACACTTTACACATACGTGAGTTTAGGAGGTTTTAAATGAGTTTGTATCATCACAAACAAAACCACATTCTGATGTAGTTTATCTTGCAAGATTGCAACTTGAAACGTTGCATCCATTAATCTGGCAGCTTGCCCCCTGGCTGGGGGAGAGGCAAGCAGGCTCTGTAGAAAAAAGTATTGGGCCCCTCAGTGCTTCTGCCTTCAGCAGGTGCCTTTACCCACCAGGATGCCTAAAGCCACTTGGGAAGGGCTGGTTTGCCCCTGAGCCAGTGCAGGAGGCAGCAGGAAGGTGGCTGGGTGTGCTGGCAGCCAGAGAAGGTGGCAGGGATGATACACGGGGTGCTGAAAGCCTAGGAGGCTTGGGGAAGAGTTGGATCAGGTGCCTCCGAACTGGGGCTGCATTTGGCCTGCTAGCAGCCAACCCAGCCAGCCCTGGAGGGGGGGGGCGCTGCCACCATGCAAGGAAGGACCAGGGACCCCTTCATCTCAGAGGCTACTCAGCCCACTGGTAGCTTGCCCCCATCTCTGGGAGAGGCGGGTGGGCTCCGACTGAAGAAAAAAATGATTGTGCCCCTTGCCACGTCTGCCTTCAACAGGTACCTGGGGCTGCCAGGACAACGATGTATACAGTGACAGAAAAATAAAACCCACCGTTTCAATTTAGGGGGCATAGAATCCAACCCTGAAGGACTAAACCCATGTCACATGTACAAACACCCTAAGGGCGTGTCCACACGAGCGTGCACGTGCCTCTTACAGCATCTCTAACCCCTTTGAGTCACTTCAAGATGCACCTGCAAGCAGTTGCCTTCCTGCTG